CTGGGGATCAAACTCGTGACCTTGCGCTTTGGAGGCAGGCAGCGGAACCACTGAGCTAAATTCCCAGCCCAGATGTTCAAAATAAGTCTCACTGGAGTAATATTGAGGTATAGACCAGGGCTACATTCCTTCTGAAGTCTGTGGGGGTGAATCTGTCTTTGTCTTTTCCTTATACCTAGAATGAAATTGCTAGTTCATATGTAATTCTTTGTTTAACTGAGGAACTGCCCAGCTGTTTTTCGCAGTGGCTGTACTATTTTATATTCCCACCGGCAATGTATGAAGATCCATTTTTTTTACGCATTTGCCAATGCTTATTTTCCATATTTTAATAATACTTATAGGTGTGAAGTGGTAGCTCAGATAATTTAAAAGGTCTTTTGAGGGTCAGGGAATGTAGCTCAGTGGTGCTGCGCCTGCCTGGCAAGTGCAAGGTCTTGAGTTTGATCCTCAGTACCAGAAGAAAAAAAAAAAGGTCTTTTTGGCCTACAAGAAATATGGAAGTTCTACCCCATAGTCCACTTCCCTTTTTGTTTTTTGTTCTTGATATTTACCAGTTGATAAAAATGTCCAGCGTATTAGCATCTGCTGTATGGTTGAAGTTGTATTGAGCTCTTCAGCATAGGATCTCACTGCAGATGCCCTTGATTTCACCAGCAACTCAAATTCCTTTGCATAAACAACCCAGGAAATAATAAAGGTGAGGCTGACAGTAGATGTGTTGCATTAAGAAAGCTTAAAATAGGAAGAAACAAATTTCCAAAGCCATGCACATTTGAGAACAATGTTTATTACATAAGCAAATTCTGTTTGGAGAAGGGTTCACCCTGGGTTCCTTTAAATAACAAGTTCAATATGCTAAATCTGGAGGATGGACAGCTACTTGGGGAGGTTATCAGTTCTGTTAAACAAGGCGTCCCTAACCACCTACTTCAGGTCAGACTTCCTCCTAAGTCCTACTTAGCAAAGGAAAATGAGAGTTTGCTCAGTGGACTCATGAGGTAAGAACAGAAAAACAGCCACTGGGTTTGGTAATTACAGTGTCATTGGAAATCATCCAAAGGAGCAGTTTCTGCATTAGGTGGGGATAGGGCAGACAAACTCTGCCTCAAAGGCAGTACTTAAAACCAGTTTTGTTTTGGAGTGTGAGCAGCTGGGGGGTTGAGAGATCAATGGAAAAAAATGGAACTCAAGTGGCTTTTTCAAAAAGATTGAATGAGACAAAAGAAGATTGGAGAGATATAAAGACTAGGGGTGGTTGGATTTCTTTTTACAGGTAGTGAACCAACCGTATTTTGACTGACTTTTTTTTTTTTTTTGGTACCGGGGATCGAACTTGGGTCCTTGCACTTTCGAGGCAGGCACCAGAACCACTGAGCTAAATCCCTAGCCCCCCAACCGTATTTTGATAGACTCCAGGAGTAACAGTGTATGAGCAGGAGATGTTGAAGATACAGGGAAGAGAAGGTTTAATCAACTGATGCCAACAGGTGCACCTTGGTGAACTTGTGGGTCAAGGACATGGACAAGATACATGTTAGCTTTGGGGAAAAGGTCCTTGGAGACCTGAGGAGTGGAGGCGAAGGTGGTACCCATGGTACCTTCTGTGGAGGAAGCAAAATACTTAGGAAGTCACCACTTGATGCTCTTACACCTGGCTCTTCAGAAAAAAGGTAATCTGCTTAGCATGATAAGTTGGGGATGAGAATGGATGCTTAAAGGAATGGGAGAACTGACCAGAATAAAGGAATTATCCTAAAGGACCATGCTCTTTAGACAGCTTCTCTGACTGGGCCAGAACATCTGGCTGAGTGCCACATTTCTAGTATTCTACCCAAGTGTAAGTTCCACGGGTGTCAGACCTGGACATGTATCTCCATGGGGCTCTGTATTCTCTTCTAGACTCTGTTGCCCTCTCTTTCGTTTGGAGACCTTCCCACTGTACTCTTTTTATTTATTTATTTTAATACTGGTGATTGAACTCAGGACCTTGCACTTTCGAGACAGGCGACGAAACCACTGAGCTAAATCCCCAGCCTCCCATTGTACTCTTTAGAACACCTGCTCTGTTATAAAGAAATCCCCCAGTAAGTATTCTTAGCCTCTTTTCTGAATACTCCCATGATCTCAAGATTTAAACGAACACCAGATGTCCCTGGAGATTTAGTCCCCTGAAACTGCTGTTCCTACTGCAACAAAAACATCCAAACTCTGTGTTTCCTCTTTAATAGGAATCAGAGCACTTTCAGCATATTAGCTAATTTAATCCTTGTAACACAGCCCTATGCGTGGCACCAGAGCCCTTACACTTGAGAACTGAGGCATACTGTATTGACTTTCTTAAGGTCTTTCAGGTTGAGGCTGTTGAATTTCTTTATATTTTAGCTTCTTCATTTCCAGGAGTGCTGGTGTTCCCAATTCCTAAACTTTTAAGTTTTAAGAGAACCTAGGTTCTCACATGAAGTGGCTGTGTACTCCATTTGTTTGGGTTGCTAAGTACACTAGTCCTAGTTTCTGTATCTTTTTTTTGGTTTCTTTTGTCCTTGAGGGTTTATAACTTAAAAGAGAAAAATATCTTTGTGCCATTTTATGGGGTTTGAGGATATTTTTTATTTATCCATTTTGAACATGAACTGCCAGGTTGGTTTAACATTAGAAAAATATATTAACTTACCACTGAACATATTAAAGGAAAAAGCATAAAATTGTCTTTATAGGGCTAAGAAAGCACATACTCTGACTTGGCCATCCTTGGCTTGTTTTATTCCCTATAGAGACTTGGATATATGGCCAAGATACATCTGCAAGTGTTCACACCAGCATTAATGGTGTCAGAAATCTATAAAGCCTATATGTGCATGGTCAGGAGAGTAGATGAGCAGATTGTTATACATTCAGGTATATATGCAAGACTGTGGAGCTGTAAAATGATTCTCCTACAGCTTATCATACGTCAAGAGAGATCAATCCCAGAAAGATAGTGTCGAATGACAGAAGCAAAGTATAGCTCTCTTTTTGAAGCTCAAAACCGAGTAAGACAAATTATAAAATATAGGGACAATGAACAAAAGGTTTAGGATTGTGCTTCCCACAGAGAGGATAGGGAGAACCTCACCAGGGGTTGGGCGACAGGGAATTTTGTCAGTGGTGCTTGTTGTTCTTTTTGTCAGCTTGAGTAGGAGATTAATGGGTGCTAGTATTATTGTTATGCTTTATGATTTAAAGATGTAATATGCTTTTTTTGTAATCATGGCAACAAAATAAACATACTATTTTGACGATTTTAAAGTCTCCTGTTCTGTGGCATCAAGAACATTCACAATGTTGTGTAACCATTATCACCTTCTGAAAAGTCTTGGAAAAATTTTATCACTCCAGAAAAAAACTTTGTAACCATGAAGCATTCACTCCTCATTTCCTCGCTTCTCTAGTCCCCAGCAACCATTAGTTTTCTGTGTTATGAGTTTGCTTATTACTGACATTTCACATAAGTGAATCATATGATATATGGCCTTTTGTATCTGGATTCTTTCACTTACAATAATATTTTCAGGATTCTTCTATGAAGTAGCCTATTTCAGTACTTCATCGTTTTAAAATCCCATTGTGTGAATATACTATATTTTGTTTATCCAGCCATCTGTTGATGGACATTTGGATTATTTCGACCTTTTGGCCATTGTGTATAGGGCTGCTATGACCACTTGTGTACAACTTTTTGAACACTTGGTTTCAGTTCTTTCAGGTATGTATTTACAAGTGGAATTCCTGAGTATTATGGTAACTATATTTAACTTGCTGGGGAACCATCTAACTTTTTCCACTGTGGCTGTACCAGTTTACATTCCCAGCAGCAGTAAGGATTTCTGTTCTCCACACCTTCACCAGCACTTGTTTTTTACTTTTTAAAATTTTTATTTACTTTTTAATTTTTTTGTGTGATTCTAGGGATCAAACCAGACCCTTGTACATGCTAGGCAAGTAATCTACCACTGGGCTACACCTCTAGTCCTTTTCTTTTTAAAAAATTGTGGCTATCCTAGTATGAAATGGTATTTCATTATGGTTTTGATTTGTACTTCTCTAATAATGATGTTGAGCATTTTTTTTTCGGTACTGGGGATTGAACTCAGGCCCTTGCACTTGCCAGGCAGGTGCCGTGCACAGAGCCACATCCTCGGCCCTGAGTATATTTTCATATTTGTTGGTCATTTGAATGTATTCTTGGGAAAAAAATCCATCAGATCATTTAGTCATATTTTAAATGTAAATTTTGTTTTCAACATTTCAAAACTCAAACATTTAAAAATTGTGCTTACTATGTATAATTTCCCTGTGGTAGTAGCAGTCAAGAAGGCCTTTCAATGAAGCATTTGAACAAGCTGCTAGGGAAATAGATTAAATCTCAAAGATTCCTTGGGAGGATCTTTTTAAAGGCAGGTCATCTTAAATTGCCCACAGTGTTGCTTCAAAGTATGATAGAGAAGTTTGTTTTGAGTATGGGGGCTGAAGGAAATTACATTTTGAGTGTAAACCTAAAGCAAAGCAAAACAAAAAAATTGGCTTGGCAAAGACAGTTTTCAGGTATATGAGTTTATTTACCTTCTTCTTTATTCACCAAGTTCTTTTACCCCTTGAATTGGAAGTAGAATCTTAAGACATTTAAGTCAGTGTTTGTGTGGTTGATACTGTTTTTTTCTTTCCTCATCATTGCACATTAAGTATATTGTACTTTTTGGATAAATGTTCACGTATCTTTTTTCAGGGACTATGCTATCTGTAGTGTTTTATTCTCTGCATTATAAAATTGATAGTAGTTGTGATGTACTCCATCTGTATTTTCTACAAATTTTTATATTGATGATTGATTATATAAAGATCTAACTGACTAAGAAATACTGTTCTTGGACAGATGTGTGAAAAGAATTATTTGCTAGCCTGGTGATTTTTCCTTGGACTGTCTGACCAATTACTCTGAAATTTTCTTCATGTTTTCATAGCCGCTTCCTGAGAAGTTTGTGGTGAAAGGTGTCGTGGATCGTTTTTCAGAAGAGTTTGTGGAGACCAGAAGAAAAGCTTTGGATAAATTCCTGAAAAGAATTACAGACCATCCTGTACTGTCTTTCAATGAACATTTTAATGTTTTCCTTACTGCTAAGGTGAGGAGAGAATTTTATATATTCCTTTTCAAAATTATCATTCTTAGGACTCTTCCTTGAAACTTGTTTTGATATCTCGCAAGCCACCTGCATGAATAGTTCTCTGTCACAGGTACTGCTCTAACTAGACATGGTGCGACACACATGTAGTCCCAGCTATTCAGGAGACAGAGGCAGGATGATTGCCACATCGATCCCAGCCTGGGCAGTTTAGCAACTTAGCAAGACCCTGTCTCAAAATGAAAAGGGCTGGGGAGGTAACTCAGTGCAGAGGTGCTGGGTTCAATCCCCAGTACCTGTTTTTAAAAAGTTGCTCAGTTTTTTTGGTGCCAGTTACATTAGTGTGGTTTCTGTGTTAGAAATCAGGAGGAAACCAAACCTCTCCTTCCCTCCCTTGTAATAGCAATGGATGTTAGAATATCTTTACATGCCCAAAACAGAGATAAATATTTGCACAAACACCTTAAACGTATCTTGGCAGTATTACTGGATTGGGCCAGTCTCACCAACAACGGGCACAAAAGGGAATGTACTTATTGAATGTTTTATAAGCGTGTTCTTCACAGAACCCTGTAAGTAATTATTCATGGCCTCATTTTATAGTCAAGGAAACTGAAGTTCAGAGAGTTCAGGTGATGTCACTGGAACCCTAAGTTACGTCTTTGTGGCTCCTACAGCTGTACTTTCACTCTGTGTCACACCGCCTGACCATTGTTTGCCCATATCTCTGTTCCTACCAGATGCTCATTTTCCACATATTTGCCAGAGAAATACTTGGATCCGTACAGTGGTCAGAATCTGTGTATTCAAACTCTGGGTGTTGTTCATTAGCTTTTCTCTGTGCTTCCCTGTTGGTAGAATTGGCCAGAAAGCTTGTGGTGCTGCAGTCACCATCTGCAGGAGTGGGAGGGTCACACGCTGAGACTGTCATGCTAGCTTCCTTCCACCCGCATGCGTCAGGCGACAGGTATGGTTTCTATTCAGGCCTTTGGTAATATGTTCCATGTTGGCAAGGGTATTGAGGCCCAGATAATGTCCATTTCTTCTTTGGTCAGAATGGCAAAATTGAGAAATATTTACTGATAACATCAGTTGATGTTTAAGGCTTTAGACGTTTCATTCTTCACTAAATGGCAGTCGTTTAGTTCTAGTTTTTAACCTCAGTTAATATTTAGCCTTGGTGATAACCCATTCATTGTTACCATCCCCCTAAAGCCTTTTCTCCCTAGGTTGAACTCATACACTTTTAAAAACTAGCATTTCCTTTGCTCGCTTCAGCAGCACATATACTAAAAACTAGCATTTCCAGTTGAACTGATCTTTTTGTGTGTGTGGGGGGGAGGGGTACTGGGGATGGAACTGAGGACCTTGAGCTTGCGAGGCAGGCGGTGGCACCACTGAGCTGAATTTCTGGCCCTCAACTGATCCTCGAGTATAGTTCTTTCAACTTATATTCAAAGTAAAGTCTATCCTGTTTTCCAGAATTGCAACAAACTTTCTCATCCAAGTTTTAGGTCTGTTTGTCCAGAAGACCCTCATGCTGTCCTCCTTATTCAACAAAAGAGAAAAGTGTGTTTGTGGGTGGGTACAGCTTGGACCCCTGGTTGTTAGGAATCTATGAAGAGTAGGTAGGAAGCATTGTGTGTGATTGATTGATTGATGGGCCAAATAGTATGAAAATGATTCTAGGGCCCGAGATTTAGCTCAGTGGTTTCACCGCCTGCTGTGCAAGCGTAGGGACCTGAGTTGGATCCCCGGTACGAAAAAAAACAAAACAAAAAACAATAACAACAAAAGAAAATGATTCTTAAAATATGTAAGATCTTTTAACGTCTCAATCAAACTCCAACTTCACATGAGTGAATGCAGGAAAGATGCCTTTAAACAGAGCGTATTCTAGCCCTAGTTCAGTATTGCTTCTGCTTGTTTGGAGGATGGGTAAGAGAAAGATACCTGTGGCTTCCATAAAAAGTATTTTTGAAGAGACTGTTAAGTGAAATAGGACAACCTGAAGATGACTATGTTAGATATGTATGCTCTTCATAAACAGTTTAGTAGTTTAGAAGTTAGTTTAGTTTAGAGTTTTACCTGGCAGGCTCATATGCTTTTTTGTATTTTAATTTTTTTATTATTATTATTATTATTGGTACTAGGGATTGAACTCAGGACCTTGCGCTTGCGAGGCAGGCAGCGGCACCACTGAGCTAAATCGCTGGCCTCATATGCTTTTTAAATTTAGATACGGTGGGTTCTAAGACTCAACATATTTCCTGTTTTTGCCTTGCCCTGCAAGAAATTCAGAGTTAAAATGTGTTCTCATTAATAACATCTGCCTTTGCCCAAGTTTTCTAGGAGTGCTTCCTGGGTCACTGGTTTATGCTTTCTATCCTCTACTCTACTCTCCTTATAAGGCTTTAGTTGGCATATAAATAAGTTAATGGATTGAATCTCAGAATCTCAGCTCCTTAATTTTGCTCCCAAAGGCAATGTAGGGTTGGGTTTCTACCTCTCTCCCTTCCTTCCTTGTCAAAGATTAAAACATTTATGTTAGAAGCAGTGTTGTGTTTAAAGGACAGAGTGCCTAAGTGAGTGAACCTGACTAGGGGGATTGGAGTCCAGCTCTGTTGAGAGGGATGTGAATGTACTGCATGGCGTGTGAGCCTGGTGGTCATGATGTTAGGGAGGGGACACTTGTGTGAGTGTGACCTGCTCTTCTAACTCAGCTTCTTGTTTTCTCAGTCTTCCATTTCCAAAAAGAAGTAGCTCTCAGGAGTTGGTTATTTAATCTTGGCTGTGCAAGTGCCTGAATGCCTTGTTTGTTTGTGTGTCATCCTTAGGACCTAAATGCCTACAGGAAGCAGGGGATAGCATTGCTGACCAGAGTGGGTGAGTCAGTCAAACATGTCACTGGAGGCTACAAGCTGAGGAGTCGGCCTCTGGAGTTTGCAGCCATAGGTGAATACTTAGATACTTTTGCACTCAAGCTGGGAACCATTGATCGGATAGCCCAGCGGATCATCAAAGAAGAAATAGGTGAGCTCTTTGTTGAGACTCTTGATTGTGCCCAGGGACCACGGTGGTGGGAGTGGCATTCATCTCTGCCAAGCAGATTCAAACTGCAGAAACATGGCTGTGACACAACTAGGCTATATTTTACATATAAAACAAATAAATACAGGGAGGGGAGGACTAGGCTGTAATTTTTTTTTTTTTTTTAATACGAGGATAGAACTCATTGCACTTTTGAGGCAGGCGCAGTGCCATTGAGCTAAATCCCTGGCCCTAGGCTATAATTTTTCACCCCATCATTTATCCTGGCTCTCAGCCTTGTGTTTGCTTTTCCCATAGGAAGCAAACACTTCTGTGCTTTCAGGTCTTTCCTCCTTTTATTTTTCTTAACTTTAGCTTTTAAAGTGGAGATGTGGACTCAATTGCCCTTCACCCATTGGGATGATGTGTTTTTTTTGGTAACAGGGATGGAACTTGGGACCTTGTGCTTTCGAGGCAGGCTCTGGAACCAGTGAGCTAAATCCCTGGCCTGAAATGATATTTTTAAAAACAAACCTAGTTACCTTTTCTGGCAGAAGGATGGTTCAAAAGGGGAGAGCATGGTGACCTGTGTTTGCCAAGGTTATGGCCCTAATGAACCTTTGAAGTTTAAATCTGCTCACCTTCCCTGCCCCTGGTTCATTTCACATCCACCCTCACCCTCCTGAGTCAGGGAGTTGCCAGGGCCTGTGTTCACCATTTCTTCTTGTTGCCACTACTGCCCTCCCACTCCTGTCATGGCCACCTGTTTTGCCATATTCCAGAATGTTGGGTCACTTGTCTTACTTACACATACAGGCCAGGAAAACCTGAACAGTGTTAATGATCATGCTGACATGAGGCACATTCTTCAGCAGTTGTCATTTGTTGGTGATTAAACACTGACCACAGCATTCCACTGTAATAACAAGAATCCTAGTGACAAATGAAAGGTCAGATTTTTCCTTGAAGTGGGGAGAAATCAACACTTTTCTTCTTGTTCCCTATACTTTTCCCCATTCACTATCCACTGGTGGTATTCTGTAGGGCCTGCTGAGATCATGCTGGGTGCCATCCACACCTGAGGATCATGTGGAATAAATGCTGATGGGACCAAGGTGTTGGGTTGCCCACTGAGTGAGTGAGTGAGTCTGACTGTGGAAGACCACATCTCTTTCAGCAAAATGTTTCCTGAAATTCCACTGTTTTCCTTTGCAATTGATTTTCCCCTCCAAAATTATCCCCTTAACCAATACAAAAGTTTCTCCTCAACGCCTGTGAAAATACTGCCTCACAGTATGGGCGGGCAAGCAGTTATTTTTGAGGATATTTCTTACCATTCTTCTCTGCAGGGTATTGTGGTTCCTGATATCCAGAGGCCTGGATGTTCTGAGGTCAGTTGTAACATCAGGTTTTAGAGGTTTTAAAAGTTATGTTAGAGACAGTGTTGTGTTTAAAAGAGAGTGTGCTCAATTGAGTAATGGCCAAGGAAAGACATCTTAGTAGCGAGTTCTTGGCTGGTGATTCTTGAATTAGTAATACAGATAATTTGTTACCCAGCCAGATTGTAATCATTTCTCTTCTCCCTTCAGAGTACCTTGTGGAGCTGAGAGAATATGGGCCTGTGTACTCCACGTGGAGTGCTTTAGAAGGTGAGCTGGCGGAACCCCTGGAGGGTGTGTCAGCTTGCATCGGGAACTGCTCTACAGCCTTGGAAGAGCTGACAGATGACATGACAGAAGACTTCCTACCTGTGCTCAGGGAATACATTTTATACTCTGATTCCATGAAGGTAAGCTGGCTTGCTTCTTGTGCACTTAGGTACTTTCTTTTTAGTAGTTGTTATCAGCTGGGTGTGGTGGCACATGCCTGTAATCCCAGCACTTGCGAGGAAGATCGCCTTGAGTTGGAGGCCAGCCTGGGCTACATAGTGAGTTCAAGGATAGCCCGAACTACATAATGAGACCCTGTCTCAAAAAAAAAAGTCATTATCAAAAAAGTAATGGATTATTGTGTCTTTGCTTGAGGCAGAAATTTCCTTCTTCCTAAGTGGGCAAAATCACACAGATATCATGGACATATGAATAGAGCATATGGCAAACCAGGTATGTGAATTAAGTGAAAAGTAGTTTGGGAGAAGCTCTTATTACTGTATTCTGAGAGTTCAGGAAGATATAATATGTGCAAAACAAGAACAGGATGTTCTGGAAAGAGCAGAGTTAAGATAATTAGAGCTATGAGAAGTTAAAATATGATTGCTGACATAAAATTGAATGGTAAAGTTGGAACTTGAAGATGAAGAAATCTTAAAAAGTGAGACATACAAACAAACAAAAATAGTTGGAAAGTAAAACAAAAGTGCAGAAATACTAAAAGCATGAAAGAAAGAGGAGAGACATGGGATTAATCCCAGAAGTTCAGCATCTGACTGAGAAGAGATCCTGATTGAGAAAGCAGGGATAATTGAGGGAATGAAACTATGAAAGAAATAATACAAGAAAATCTCCCAAAGCTGAAGGCCCAGGACCTCGCATTAAAAGGACATGCTGTTTTCCAGCAAAAAGAATGAAAAAACAACCAACCGAAAGCATATCATTATGAAATTTAAAAGCAAAAGTGATAAGATTTTGAAAGCTTTTAAAGAAGAAGAGGGAGGCGTTGTATAAAAGGAATAAGAATCAGAATGGCAACAGTGGATGAGAACACACAGAAACTATGAGGACAAACTATTTCTACCTCAGACTTTCTATGCAGAGTAAGGGTGGGAAGCAGGACATAATGCTTTCATGTGCACACCAGAAACTTGCTGTGTCCACAGAAGTTGATTAAGAACAGTTCCAGGGGATTCATGATGGTGTTAGAGAAAAGGATTCATCTTCCCAATAACAGAAAATAATATGTGGCTCAGTGTTGAACATACCCACCTGCAGTTACCCCTTTCCTACTTCTTGAGAGCTCAGAATTATTTGTCTATCTTTGGGGAAGATCTAGGACAACCATTAGGAAAGACTTGGTAGGAGCCAGGCATGGTGGCGCACGCCTGTCATCCCAGCACTTGGGAGGCTGAACCAGGAGGATCATCACAAATTAAGGCCAGCCTGGGCTACATAGTAAATTCAAGGCCAACTTGAGTACACAGTGAGACCTTGTCCCAAAAAAACAAAACAAAACAAAAAATTGACCCAAATCTCATGAGAAACCTGCGTTGTAAAAGGTGGAAATCCAGAAAAATCATAGAATTATGGAAATATTCCACAGCTTGATAAGGGAGGAGGGTGCAAAACAAATGGATCAAGTAGTAATAAAAACTGAGCTAGGTGTGGTGGCACATGTCTGTAATCCCAGCACTTGGGAGTCTGAGACAGGAGGATTGCTGTGAGTTCGAGGCCATCCTGGGCTACATAGTGAGTTCAGGGCCATCCTGAACTACAAGGGGAGACCCTGCCTCAAAAAACAAAATAAAACAAAAAAACTTTTTAAAAAACTTTATTATGGAAATGTTCAAGCATACACAAAAGCAGAGAGGAATAGTATGACAAATGCCTGCTCCACTATCCTTATCTTCCTCACTCCATCAGCTTTGAGTGTGTTATGGCTCTGGATCCATATTAAAGTGGTGACAGAGGACAGTGGAGCCTATTCCAGGTATAATCATGGAGTCATATATTATATGCCTTATAAAGCTCCCAATAAAACACTTCCAAAGACAAGCTTGTGTCTGGATCTCACAGTGTGAATTTCTTTCTCTGTAGGGCAGAATGGTAATGGTAAAGCTCAGATGTAGGAGTGTAAGCCTGAGGTAGCTTTGTTAGGAATTAGTGGAACTGAGGCGAAAAACCAAAACTTCTGGCTCTGACTTTGCAGCTCACTTTCCTTTGTCACATTGCCTCTATTCAATGTGCCGCATGCACACTGAATTTCTAAGCCTGTGGCTGAAACAAGTATAGAAAGACATCCTGACTTCCTTAGAATCAACTGAAATATTTTGCTTCACTTATGAAGTTAATAGTGTCTGTTTTTGTGAACAGAAAATAAATTTTTACAATCCCTGGGGGTATCCCTGGATTTGTCTCTTATATTGACACAGTCTTCATCAGAATGGATACACAGTGTTAGGATATTATAGTATGAATTACTTTGTTCTAGCATGTGGCAAGTGTGTTAGTATTTAATATGTATTTGTAAACCAAGATTTTAAATTGTTGTTTAGGAAGGACTTATCTGGCATCTTTATTAAAACATTATTAAATTGTGAGCCAAGCTTATTGTGTAATTAAAATTATTCATGAAGTTCCTCAGGTGTTCTTTGTTATGAAAGTATTGTGTAATTAAAGTTATGCATCCAAGAAGCATTTGTTTGCTCTCTTTCTTTACCCCATGGATGAGGTGTGTGTACTGATTACTTTGTTTACTGAGCCTGAAAAAAACATGGTCAGGTCATGAGGCTGGGAGAAGGGATCACAGTTAGTACTGCCCGGGACAGGGCCTGGTATGAGGAATTGTGACTAGTGGTCTCCAAGACCCAAGCTTCACCCACAGGGAGCTGAGCAAGGTGCAGTTAGTAAGAAGAGAGGCCACCTACTGTCCCTCTTTACAACCAGAAAACATTTCTGCAGAGCACTGTGGGCCAGACCAGGGTGACTGCGTGACAAAGCCAAGACTGCATGGAGGATCGCCAGGGTTTGTGTGGCCCAGGCCAAAGACATGGGGACAGCGATGGTGTCTGCAGTGGCTCTCCTACCTTCCAACATTGCTGCTATTTAAAAATTCTTGGGCTGGGGATTTAGCTCAGTGGTTCCGCTGCCTGCCTTGCAAGCGCAAGGACCTGAGTTCAATCCCCGGTACCAAAAGAAAAAAAAAATTCTTAACTTGGGCTGGGGATTTAGCTCAGTGGCGCCACACCTGCCTCACAAGCACAAGGTCCTGAGTTCAATCCCCAGTACCAAAAAGAAAATTGTTCTGTGTTTTATTTCTCTAAAAGAATCACATGAATCCATTTTCAAAATAAGTTAGATATGACTTAGCTACTCATTATGAAAACTAACAGAAGAGGGGACTTGCTAATGGCCTGGCTGCGACATGTTTGTCCTCATCGATGGCCAGATGGCTTTTCTTTTTTTTGCACTGGGGATTGAACTCAGGACCTTGCGCTTGCGAGGCAGGCAGCAGAACCACTGAACCAAATCCCTGGCCCACCAGATGGCCTACAGAGCTGAGAAAATCCTGGTGTTTGGAGAGGGGAGTTATGGTGAGGTGACGTTTTGTCAGTCTATGCCTTTATCTTGGTACTAGATGAAGCAAAGTGAGAATTTATCCTTCTCCTCTGGAGGCAGCAGCCTCTGCCTTAGGAATTTCCCTAGTTGAGGATTGGCCCATTCCTGGGTGGGGATAGTGCTGGGGCTTCTTGAAGCCCTTTCCTAATGGGGCTGTTGGGTTCCTCTTAAGTTTGAAAGGACCTTTGGGATCATTTGTCTAATTTGTTCATGTGATAGATGAAGAAATAGAACTCTGTAGGTAAACCTCTGGCCCATGACCTCAGACAATACTCTAGTGACTTGTCACCCAGTAGCTATGTGTTTGCTACGCTCCAGGGGAAAAACCGGGTGATCTCCGGTTTTTCAAGGCTGGTCTCAAATTGTGTCTCTTTAAGGATAACTGTGGTTGGGTACATTCTGTTTTCCTTGAAGGTAGAGAGCAAGAACAAAGAAAAAGTAGGGTCATTATCAGGCCACACGGAACAAATGGAGCAATGAGACTTTCAGGCAGTGAACATTCAGAACAGCTTGTACAAGAAAAATGGTTGAAAGCTTATAGTTTACTAAGGATGCAGGGAGGAATAGTGCACAGAGCCTGGGAGGGAGGACACGCCAGTTAAATACCCGTAGATGTGAGCCCTTGTGAGCTCTTGTATGAGATTTCACATCCTATAGACTCTGTTTGTGTAGAAGGTAATGAAGGTAGTGATGCACCAAGAAAGACCATCTTAGAGTCCCTCACCAAATGCCTGTCAGTGCCTTTTGAGGATTGAGGTCATTATAACCAGGCCAAGAAGTGGAGAACCCTTATTTAAGAATATTAGCATAGAGCTGTCTTATTTCTCACACTGCCTTGCATATAGAAGGTGGTCAGCACATACTTGATGATAGTTCAGTGAATTTGGAACATTTACAACTATGTACTATGGCATGTTGAACATCTTGTTATTTTCAAGAGATGGATTTACTGTAAGTGAGCATACTTATCTCGGAGGTTGTGGAGGATGACTGGGTGAGGTGAGGGTCTGATGAAAGCCTGGGTTGAAAGGGAAAGCCACATGGAAAAAGTGGCTTTGGCTGGGACTTGACTAACAGAAGAGTTAGCTGTGCAATGCTTGTGTCATGGAGTACTTTAGGTAGAGGGAGTTTCCCTTGCAAAGGTTCTGAGGCAGAAATGAGTGTGGTGTCTTTGCAGATCAGAAAGGCCAGCATGAGTGGAGGTCAGTGAGCCAGTGGCTGGAGGTAAAGTCAGATAGGCAGGGGCCAGGTCACATAACATCTTAAAAGCCCTAGTTGGTAAGAGTCTGGGTTTTATTTCAAGGAATAAAGGGGGAAATCATTCCGTTTTATGCAGGGGAATGACAGGATGCATTTGTACTTTTAGAAATAACTAGCACTGTGGTTCAGAGACCAGACTGTGGAAGATAGAGTGGAGGTTGGCAAGACCATTCAAGAAGCCCTCACAGGGACCCAGGGGTGCTGGAGTTGAGACTGTGGTGGTAAAGTGGAGCTAAAGTGGGTCCATATTTTAGAGCAAGGGCCAACTAGACTTGTTGCTCATTAATGTGAAGTAAGAAAGGGAGAAAGTGAGGTTTTAGGCTTTGGCAACTGAGTGGGCAGTGGCACTGTTTATTGGGATGAGGAAGTCTAGGGAGAAACAGTTTGGGCAGTTGGGAATCGACCTTTTTTGTTATGTTTAGTTCAAAAAAGTCTGAAAGTGGAAAATTCATGGTAGTTGGTTATGAGTTTTAGTTCAGTGTAAGAATAGAAATTTAGAAGTCATTGGCATGTGCATAAGGTTTAAATCTATTAGACTGAGGGAGATGAGCTTGAGGTAAGCAGAGTTTAGGCCTATGTCTCAGGCATGACAATATTTAGTGGGCCACCACTTAATTGAGAAAAAGGAGCAAAGGAGCCTGAGAAGGAATGGTTGGTGTTGGGGGGCGGGTAGTGGATTGCCTCAGTAAAACCAAGAGAAATGCTCTAAGGAGAAAAGGCATGCCAAGTAGTGACCATTAGATTTAATAATACAGACGTTGGTGAGCACAACATGTGAGAGGTGTGAGATGTGGATGAAATAATTTTGACTTAAAGACAAGTTTATTTTTGAACTGGAAATGTCTTCAGCAACATTCCAGGATAGTTCTTTTCAAATGTCAATTTATCAGCTGGTTTCTTCAGCCTACCCACTTTTTCCCTTCATGAGCCACAAGCTGGAGCCAATGAGTCAACAGGTACATTGCCAGTTTTTTGCTTTAGGTTGGCTATTTCAGTGCCTTTCAAAAGCTGAAATGAAGATTTTTCTGGAAGATTGAGTTTTCAAGAAAAAAAAAGTCCCTCTTCCTGAAAAAAATTATTAATAGTTTTAGGGACTGATTTCTTACAGTTTAAGATGAAAAGGTGAAGAAGCAGGATGTAAAATATACATGAAGATGTCAAAGATTCTTTTTTGGTACCTGGGATTGAACTCTGGTCCTTGTGCTTGCGCAGCAGGTGGCGAAACCACTGAGCTAAATCCTCGGCCCTAAAGATTTAAAAAAATAAGGAAAATATAAAAATTAAAACTCTGAGATTCCCAGCAATGGCAAAGTGAGTACATATTAAACTTCCTCTCCTTTGTGAAACTGCATCATAATGGCACTGCGAGGATTTTTTAAAAGATATATAAGTCCACAAAGACAAAAGAGCAACAGACAGGGAAATAATAGCAATATAATTTGAGGAACTAGAAATATATTGATAAGTGAGAAGTGATTTAGATGACTCAAAAAGCTAACACGGGAAAAAACCTGATACTGTCTCTCTCTGGCTTATACTGTGGAACCTTCTAAGTATTGGCCTCTCTGGGACCCAGGGGAAATGGGAGCTGAGAGAGTAAAGTCAAGAGTTGGTGTAAGAATCAGCTAGAACTTCTGGCTCTGTCCTCCCTCCTCACCCAAGGGTCACAGTCCTTTCTCCATGCTGGCAAAATGAGGAGGTGTTGTGCATAACAATTGGAAGGGGTAGGACTAGAGGGTCTGTGGGTGAAAGGACTCCAGGTAAAGTTGAAGGCACTCAGTAAAAAGCTGCTGAATGTTGAGGCTCTCAGCTTTGTATCTTCCATTAGAAGAACCTTTTCCAGACAATCTGAACAAGCCAAGAGAAGAGGCTGATATTAGGGATGAGGATGGGGGCAGTGGAGGGTCCCTCAGTGAAAGGACCCAACAGAGTCCCCTCTAGAGAATTGTCAACAAGTCCTCCTATGTGCTGAGACAAAGGTCACACCAAATACCTAAGGGATGATCTGAGTATCAGGAGTAAAGACAAACAAGAAAAAGCATACTGAATGAAACATCAAAGGGGAAGAAAATTTCCCGAAAAAAATTAGTATTTTCGGGAAGAGAAGATATTAATATCTTCAGAAGATTTCACAGCTATAAAGCCAGAATTTTAAAAATTCAGTGAACAGAGACCTCTTGGAAATTAAAACCGATGAGAGTGGGAAAAAAAATAGAAGACATAGAAGACAAATTAAGAAATTTACATATATTTTAAAATAGATAAATTGTGATTTGGAGAGGAAAAATGTAAAAATTCAAGGACCAGGCCATACATTGTTACATCTGAACAATAGGAGTCCAGGAGAAAACAAATGGGAAGCATCAAAGTCGTCGTGCAAAAGAGACAGGGGATGAAGTCTGGGGATAAAATATCACTAATTATGTTTCAGAGAAGAGATTATGGATGGCTTTCCCCCTGTCCTATTTTCCCCCTTTCTATTTTTCTTCTCCAATTTTTCTACAACAGATTTTAAAAAATTTGTTAAAATCAGAGGGGAAATGTATGGTTTCACTATTACCAACATTGCCCAAAAACATTTAACTCACAGTTGGTCTCATTTTCAACAGAATGAATGTGGAAGAAGAGACTGTCACAAGGGGTGACCTGAACTCAGTCATTTATTCAGAAATTGTGATACCAAGAAGGCTAAATCATGCATTTTGCTGCCTGCAGGAAGATGTTCTCCTAGACAGGCCACAGGCCTAAGTTGGGTGTTTTAGTTTTATTCTAAACTAAACGTGAGCTTTTTCTTTGTTACTGAACACCCATTATCCTACATGAATTGCTCTCAGAGCTTTGGAGCTTTGGGGTTGCTGGCATGTGAATCACTCTGTTCTGCCCTTGTCTACATTTGGTTGAGCTATTCCTGCTGCTTTCATATCCTCTCCTAGCCCTGTATCCTAAGATCCCTCTTACATAAAGATTGGAAGCTTACAAACTTTACAGTTCCGAGGAAACTTCTGGCAGCTGCTAGCCACTTGTGTTGGGCTGTCTTTCGGCTGCCTTTCCCCTTCTGTAGTCTGTGAGCCAACGGCTATGCCAGGGGAAGACACGGACATGAGCTCTGGGAAGGGACATGGAGCTTTCCTGCAGATACTGACCACTGTGTGTTTTCTTGGAGAAAATCCAGCGATGATGTTGAGAGCTGAGCCACAGAATGTGTCTGTGATCTTAACTCTACCAGACAATTTTGCCATTGTGGGATAAAGGCTGTTTGTCATAAATATGTCATGAATGACATTGTTACAGGCTTCCTAATGGCTACTATATTTGTTGTAAACATTTTGGATGACAAGTATCATGCTTCCATTGTTTAACCTTTTTTTCTTTCTTGGTACTGGGGATGGAACTCAAGATTTTGCACTTGCGAGGCAGGCGGCAGCACCACTGACCTAATCCCTGGCTCTGTTTAACCTTTTTGTTATAGAAAAATTCAAATATGTCCAGAAGTTGAGTGAGAATCTGGCTAACCCCCACGTACCCCAGCCAACTTGAAGAGCTGCCTACTCATTGGGAGTTGTTACATTTACATAACATCTTAATTCTTTTTTATCCCTTCCCTCCCTCTCCCTCCCTCCATCTCCTGGTCCCCCTCCCATTACAAAATGTCCATCTCCCTATTTCCTGTTATCTATATTTTAAAAAAATTTATCTTTTGGGTTTATCTTATGAGAGAAACCATGTGATATTTGAGCTTATGTGTTTGATTTTCTTCACTTAACATTATAGTCCCAAGAGGCATCCATTTTCCTACAAATTGTTTATTCTTCTTTATGGCAGACTAGTACTCCACTGTGTAATAATACCATAATTTCTTTATCCATTCACCCATTCATCTGTTGATAGATATATAGGCTGCTTCTAATATTTAGCTAGTATGAATTGTCCTATGATAAACACAGTACTAATAAAATAAAAATTGAAAAAAGAGTTTCCTAGTCATGACCCATCTTGTTATCTCTGCTCCTACCCACTCCCAACTCCTACCCACTTTATCAAATCTTGAACATTACCTCATTTCATACAAAAATATTCAGTACGCATCTGTAAAATACACATGTTCCTTCAACAATGTAGAAGAATCATGTTGTCATCACACCTAGAAGTAAAAACAAGTTTCTTACTATGGTCACATACCCAGTTGGTGCTCAAATTGGCTCAGGCCCTGTTTCCCCAATCACTTCAGATGCCATTTTTATACCTCAACCCCTACAGGACCCAAATAAAATCCATATGTTGATTGATATGTTTCTTAAATATTCAAGGTCTTTACATTAATTTATTTTTCCTTGAAATTCACTGGTTAAAGAGGCTGAATCATTTGTTCTCTTTTCACCTGAAAAGGAAGATAGTGAAATTCCAGATTCTTGGGAATGCTTGAAATCATGAACCTGGAATTTAAAAATATAGTGTCTGAGCCGGGCTTGGTGGCACACACTTGTCAGGAGGCAGAGGCAGGAGGATTGCTTCGAGTGCGAGGCTAGCCTGGGATACATATTGAGTTCAGGGCCAGCCTGAACTACAAAGCAAGACCCTGTCTTAAAAAAAAAATTTATAT